ACAGTTTGAAGCTAATCGTACTTCCATTCTTCCGTGCTTGCATTTCCCCCGGAGAAATTCATACATTTTAGCACGGATCTCCGTGGCTCCGAGCAGGCAGAAAATAGACAAGCCGGCTCCGACTTTTAACGCAAAAAGTTATTTGCAGAATTTCTTCTTACCTCGCTGTGTTTTCCAGTCTGATAGAGTTTTTAAGCAATTCTCTACAGCATTTACGTCTAGAAAAACCTTTTTATTTATTTCAAACGAAATATTGCCATGTGTTCTAGCACGGCTCCGACTTTTTGTTCGCTCTTAGAATAGACGAGGTCAAACGTTGAAAACCTGAACATGTATCTTGACCCCTGGTGTAAATGCAGCATTTATCCAAGAATTGATATGTTATTAACGTTTTGATGCATTTCCCCCGGAGAAATTCATACATTTTAGCACGGATCTCCGTGGCTCCGAGCAGGCAGAAAATAGACAAGCCGGCTCCGACTTTTAACGCAAAAAGTTATTTGCAGAATTTCTTCATACCTCGCTGTGTTTTCCAGTCTGATAGAGTTTTTAAGCAATTCTTTGCAGTATTTACGTCTAGAAAAACCTTTTTATTTATTTCAAACGAAATATTGCCCTGAAGCAAGGAACCTATGGCTAAATGTTGTTTTTGGGATTTATAGTCTCACAATCGTTGCGAAACATGTCTTTTTAAAGAAGAGAATTGGGAATGCTGTAATTGTAGCAAAAACCAAAAACCATCTAAAAGCAAGCGAAAGAGCAAAAGTTACATTTATAGGCTTTACGTAGCTGTATAGTCTTCAAAGATGTCATCGAATGTTAAAACTAGCAGCTGAAGTTGAGTTGTAAATAAGACGTAACAGTATAATACAAAACAAGTATAATAATGACGTTATAGTATGATAAAACATATATGAAAGATTTTTCTTCTGTTATCTGCCTACCTTATCATCCGCTACCTGCCTATCTTAACAGTGAAAGAAAACGAAAAGTCAGAGCCGGCCTGTCTATTTTATGGAGCCAGGCCAGAAAGGGGGCAAGATTTCGTTTTAAAAGGGTAAATACTGCAAAGAATTGCTTAAAAACTCTATCAGACTGGAAAACACAGCGAGGTATGAAGAAATTCTGCAAATAACTTTTTGCGTTAAAAGTCGGAGCCGGCTTGTCTATTTTCTGCCTGCTCGGAGCCACGGAGATCCGTGCTAAAATGTATGAATTTCTCCGGGGGAAATGCAAGCACGGAAGAATGGAAGTACGATTAGCTTCAAACTGTTGCTTGGGTAGCGATATTTAAATATGCTGGCTTTAATGTTGATGTAATGATACAATGTTTGGTTATCATGAACGGTAATTTGTTCCGCGCGGTAATTTGGATCCTTCAGAGGGATGACAAAAGCAGCTAACGGAGGCCAGCCAAAGGAAGGTCTGTTTTCGTTTGTTTTTTTATAAAATATTGAACGTTTATTGTCAAATTCAATCAAGTATAACAAGAAAAAGATTGATTTATAATTTTGACTTAAAATGACAGGGTAGTTTTACGATAAGACTTCGTCTGCTAGTAGTAACATTAGAGAATCTCGTTTTTAAAACTGTTGAATTCCTATCAAGGCCTAAAATGTTGTTCTAAATCGTAAAAACCGCTATCTAATGCTATTTAGCTCCTTAAAACAACTTAATAAATTAGTGTTTTTAAAAAAATTGATATTTTAGGGACTTGTCTATTTTCTGCCTGAGACCGGATTCTCCTATTTTACCACTTGTCTATTTTCGGCGGCTCCACACCACCCCGGCTCTCGATGGCGGCGCTGCTATGCCTAGATCCACGAGCTGGGAGGTAATTCTCTGTAAGTAAAATGCAAACAAAAGCTTATTGCCAAGCAGCCACGACTCATGTTAATCTCCAGAACATTTTATGGCAACGACAGGGTTTTTCAGCCTTAATGGTGTTGCACTATGTGGAGAAGTGACAGGCACGAAAGGCCATTTTTGGACATAAAATCAGCGAGCAGGATCATTTTATGCAACCAAACCAAACTCTCAGCCTTTTCAGTAATCAATTGTTACTAGTTGAACATTTGCAGAGAATCTTCTTGATTTAATGAATGCCAAATCTTGATTCTGTTCACTGGAGATGGATGGAGGAGATAGCAGTGTTATTTTCCAAACCAACAGATTTGAGAGCATATTCAGAAACTGTTAAGCCCTTCAAAAGCATTGTTACCATATTATGATTAGGACAATAAGATTGTAGTTAATGGATAGGGAATGCCAGAACTTGCTTAAAGTTATTCTTCAATTTTTTGTTTATTATCACATGCAATAACACTGTTTTTACACACAATTAAAGTCAAACTCAAAGCTCTAATGACTTCACTTTTAGTTGAAAGTACTTTTTACTACTTATAGCTGTTGAAATAAAATGACCAGAGACAAGTCAAGCATGTTACTGATCTTGTTAGTTACACAGTTTTATTTCACTATTACAACTTTTGATGTATTTGAAAATTTACAAGATCAAATTATTCATTTACAACCCTTGTTTGCTAGATTTAGTAAGGACAATCCAATCATGTGGATATTTACCACAAGTATATGTGGAAACATCAATGTTTTTGTTAAGCTTAACTTATTTTGCAAGGTATTTTTCTATTAAGTCTAACTTTGCAGAAAACATTTTGCAACTAGGCCTATCCATTATTTTAGCTTCCTATATTTCATATCAATATTTACATTAGATATTCATTTGCCAATTTGTTTTATTCATCTATCAATTCTATTGGGGTTATTAGTTAATCGTGATGGCTTTGAAATACCTTCAACAGATTGATAATAAGACTATTTGTGGAAAAGATGACCAAAAAGCTCCCATTCAGTTTCATGTGATTTATTGTTTCATATAAAAATTTTAGCTTATCTCTAAAATTTACAAATGTATTCCAGCCTGCAAATTGAAAGAAATTAGGAGAACAAAACAATTTTTAATTTAAGCTAAGTTTATCTACTATACTAAACTAATGTTTTTTTAATGTCTTTTGTATAGTTCTGTTTGGAAATTGTCAGAACTCTGTCTGTATAAATTACCAACAAACCAAAACAGTGTCACAGCTATAAGATAAAGGTCATTTCATGGTGTAGCAAAATGATTGCTATGAAATAAGAAAAGCTCATTCCAAAAGTTAATCACAATCTTTTTTATAAGTCACAAGCCTTAAAATTAAAATTTCCAAAAGGAATTCATCAACTAAAAAATTGGGCGTGGTAAAATTTGGCCACACCCATATTTTTTCAAATTTGAGGGGAGGGCATGACCACTGCTATTTGACTAGCTACGCCACTGGCAAGACCGAGGTAGCTGTTCTCTCTACAGCACAAAAAAGTACCTTCCATCCATTCAAAAGGATTGCGTTCCAACAACCCAAAAGAGTTCCGTTATATATGAATTTACGTGCCAGTGTGATTGTGGCTACGTATGATGCACTACCCAAAGATTGGAGGATAGAATAAACAGCATGTTCCGTCTAGTATTAGAAACAAAACTCATCCCCAAAGAGAACAGCCATCTCGGTATGTCACTTGACTTTTTGAAGCAAAATATTGATTTTTACGTTATCCATGTAAGGTCAAATTAAATTGAAATTTTTTAGCTACCTTTCCTTGTATGCATAAGAATTTTAATGTAAGAAGTTTTCCCCTGTTTATACTTTGTATCTTGAATCATCTTGCTTATATTATCTTTGAATTATAGTTAAGTTGTATCTGAATGTAGCAATCATTTTGAATATAGCAAGAATAGGTGACCAAATGAAACATAGTTTGACTGCGACCAAAAGCCAGGTGGTTATTTTCGGTATGTGGATAACACATGTACCATTTTCAAAACAGAGGCTGAGTGTGATACTTTCCTCAAACGCCTTAATGGCCTTCACACAGCCCTACAGTTTACTTTTGAAAAGGAAGAAAATAACTCCTTGCCATTTCTAGATGTTTTGGTTGTAAAATTTGGCACTGGATTTCTCACTATTGTATACCGTAAACCCACATTTTCGGGGTTATTCACTCAATGGAGTTCGTTTTGACAAAACAAAGAAAGATCAGCCTCATCAAAACGCTTACACATAGGGCACTGATGATTTGTTCCAAGTCTAAACTCGACTCGGAACTTGAAAAACTAACTAAGATCTTTCTGGAGAGAGGCTATCCAGAGGATGTTATTTCAGTTTACATTAAGGAGAAGATAGGAAAAAGGGGTTATAATGTAACTTGCTTATCTACACAGAATTGTGTTTCACAAGAAGAAAAGAACAATTTGATGTTTTTCTAAAAAGATTCATATGAACTTTCGTAAAATCACATATCATACAGCAAGAACTTTCTTCATTCAATATCTTATTTTTTGCGCGAATCCAGGTATTTCTTGATGTTCGGCAACGCTGCCACTCTGTCGTGAAGGGCTTTCAGCTTTGGGAAATTCTCGTAGGGTTTTTGATGAAACATTTCTTCCCAGAAGCTCAAAAGCCCAAAGAATGCAATATCGGCCAGGGCAACCTGTAAGAAAAGAAAAAAACCGTGAATTCATGATACCACTATTTCAGTATAGGCAGTGGCGGCGCCAGGCAAGAGGCTCTGAAGGGAAAAGAAGGGTTGAGAGGGGGGAAGGGGTAGGTGATATAAACAAATATTTTTGCCATGCCCTTTTTGACGCCATAAAACGTGCTTTTACCAAAAAATGCCAACTTTACCCTGAAAGGAATGCCCATGACTAAATTTTGATTACGTAAAAGCAGTTTTAAAGTCATTGGATTACATCATTAAAATTTTTCTCATTTAATTCAGACGAAATACAAAAGTGGTGCGGCCAAGAACAGGGAGAGACGTGTCCCCCGCTCTCCCCCGTGGCGCCGCTACTGAGTACAGGGTGACTGCCATTTTCAAAAGTCGACGAAACAGAAGATGAAAAGAAAAAAGATTGGAAAGAAAAGAAAGAAAAAAAATTTCTATTTGGAGAGCAATGATCAATAACGTTAACAGAAGACTACGTAAATAGATATTTAATATAAAAGACTTGATTATTATAAAATATCACTTACTGAATCACCAGTGAAGAACCCATTCTGTGGGGCGAATCTCTCTTCAAATAACTTGAAGTCCACTTGCACTTGATTTTCCCAGAAGTCCTTTTTCATTGCTTCCTGTTATAGAAAAAGGTACTGAATGAATGCAACAGAATTCTTCCCGACTAGGAGCTACAAGCCCGTACTCCTACGATGAGCTACGAATAATGAATGCCCTTCAGGGACGTCGGAAGTTGGAAGAATTTCAAAGTTGGAGGGGATATGAATTGGCAAAGGTTATGACGTCGGAATGTTGCGAAAAGGGCAAGGGGGTAGGAGTATTAGTCATAGAAATTTGTAAGAAATCGGAAATTCTTATTCTTAGTCAATTCTTATTTATAGCAAACAATGATATTACCTAACGCTAAAACTGAGAGTCCTCTCGATCACGAAAGAAACGACCGAACCGTTTAGCGCATAGGTTCTGTAAGTAATGACATTGCACAACTTTAATGAAAAAGTTATAACATTTTCTGTCAGTTGGGAATCTTGTATCTTTCACCCTCTCAAAAATATACAGTTTCAAAAATATACAATTCAGTAATTTAGGTCTCTGGAAATCAATCCCAATTTTCACACCTATTTGGTTCCAAGTAGCCAGTAAACCTGAGGCTCGTTCTAATGGATATAGAATTTCATACCAACATCGGCATGAATAGCTACCCCGATGGAAACTTTAGTAACTCAACCCATTTGAAAGAGATTTAATCATTAAGTTTCTACATCGAAGAATTTTATAGTGGTCTTCAAGGTCAAAACAAAAAATCACTAAAGATAGATTATAATGACTTCATCACCTCGCCCATTTACTGCTTGGCAAGGGAAAGGTATACCTTGAACCTCTTCCCTGATTCCTATCTAATTGCAACCAAAAAGTTTTCTCATTCTCTCTATATATCGATATCTTGCTTTTCAATTAATGTAATCTGCATTGCTAAAATTCTTCACCCTTATTTCTTCTATTCTTTACCTATGTTGCTACTTGACCAGAAGTCACAGGGCCCTGTGCCTTTAACTCTACGAATTTCAGGCCCCCGGTAGATTAACACACGCTATTGGAAAAAGCACTAATCGAAACCAACTGTAGAAACCAGTATGCGGGGCATGGCGGTGGCGCACAAAAGAAGCAGCCATTGTATCGTTTAGGGTGAACTTAAAAAATAGTTCTATCTAATTCAAAACTGGACAAATTAATAGTGCTGGCCTGGCACGCCTGGCATTTGTAAGATTATTTTTCGCAAGGCTGTTGGCGCAGCCAGGATCTACTCAAAAACGGCCACTCTCTCCAAAATGGTACAAACAGAGTTTATGCAAAATGCATTATGCTGTAAACTTTGACAGAAAAAGGGTTTTGTAATACAATACCTTTGTCTCTTCATCTTTTTGCTTCATGGCATTGATCAACTTCTGGCCGACGTCACGCAAACCATCAAATATCATATCATTTTTTGCCTTCTCCATGTTTGTCTTGCCATTTAGGCCTGAAAGATTTGAAGCAAAATAAGTGCCAAAATTTCATCAAAAACATAGCTTTTGCTTTATTCTGAGAGAGGAAAAGGTGGGCTTACGTGCTAGTTAATAAATACGAGGGGTTCTGATTTTCTGTTGTTGGAGGGAAGCACTCTCAGAGTAACGAGGCTTCTTTTTCAAAGGATGTTTTCACGCAGCCTTTTTTTCGAAAGGCCTCTCCAGGCAAAAATAGAAAGATAAATGCCTTTTCAAGGCTCAATACTTATATCTCAAGATTCAAACTTTTGATCATCAACATTTCATGATGAATTTTTCAAATATTTTGCAAGGTTTATGAGTTACATGTACTTCAAGAATTGAATTTAATGAAATTTTGGTTTGTTGACGCTGCAAGGTAAAGTTTCCCGAGTTTGGTTTTATTGTAAAAATGAGTGCAGTTGCAAGTAGTAGTATTAACAGTTTTGTTGCCTCGGAGTGTATTTTCTAGCTTGTTCTGTGGAGTTTCAGGAAATTTCATAAATCGTGCTACTTTGTCGGAATTTTCAGGAGAATATTGGCTTTAACACCCCCCCCCCTCACAAAAACGGAAAATTCATTTCCAAATGTGTTTCTGTCCACCAAGAGAAGCCCCCCCCCTGACTGGGCACGGGAAAATTTGTTGTTGTACCTACCAAATTCATTTGCAAGATATCTCGCAATAGTAGCTGACTGTGCAATCACTTCACCATCTACCTCCAGTGATGGGCATTGGCCAAACGGGAACAGTTTTTCTAAAAAGAGAAATCACTTGAGTCAATAAACTTTCAAAATATCCCCCATCATATCAATATTGTCTTTGATTTTATTGCCCTCCATTTTCTTGGCTTTCTACTTCCTAATCTGTCCGACCCCCGGCAACTTCCAAACAAAGACCTTTGCATTGAAAGAAAAGCGTCAACCTTTCGTAGCAAAACAAAAAGTGCAGCGTCATGCTCACAAGAGAAGTGGGCGTTGCAAACTTCTGCTCCAACTGTAATTTCTCATCAACAAAAAAGTTGGCCGCGACCATGGGCGTAGAAGACATGCTACACCCATGGTTGCAGCCACCATTTTTGTTGATGAAAAATACAGTTGGAGCAGAAGTTTGCAACGCCCACTTCTCTTGTGAGCATGACGCAGCACTTTTTGTTTGCTAGGGTCTACGGTCGTTCGACCCTGAATTGCTCCCATGCAAAACAACAGTATCGTAAAAATGAAATGTGTTTCGGTGAAATGCCAGGGCAAATATATCGATTTCGAACGATAAAAAATAGTTATATTGGTTTTTCTTACGGTTTTTCTTCATTTCCGCCCACTCGTCTTTCTTGAATCTGTGGTCTTCAAATTCGACACCTGCATGGTGAAAAAGAAGCCTTGAAATCTCAGCTCTTCCTGCTAAATCAAAGTAGTACAACACGAACTTAGGCATGATGAGAAGTGGTAGCAAGGTTTAGATGGAAACACTGGAGAGAAATGTGATCCGCCAACAGCAACGTCTTTGCAGGAGTGACTTTGCCTTTTCGCTGCGCCGTCTCAAAATAGACAGAAGACAAAGGTCAAAGAAACAGCTGCGTCAAAATGACACTGCAGATTTCCAGGGGTTGCCTCACCATTGTGCCCTTATTGTCTGGCTTATCGTTCATAACAATAGTTAGAAAAACCCGTAAGATGTCGGGTCGCTTTATGAAAAACCAGAAAAACCAGTAAGTACACGGGCCTTCCCCCCCGCAGGGAGGGGAATTTGGGCTTTGCAATAACTTTGAATGGTAGATTTCGATTTATTATTGTTTTGGGTTGACTACTTCGTTTCAATTTTTTGTGGCTTATTTAATCAACTTGAGTGCAGGTTTGAACAACTGTTTAGGAAAACAGCAACAAAATTCTGCAGAATGGGGCAGTTTTTCACACAGTTTTGTTTGTGCAAGCAAAGATACTGGAATAGTGACTGGATAGGAAACTGCGCAGACAACAATAGGCGATTACGTTTATCTTCCAATCGCGTGTTTTGGAAAAGTTGTAGGGTATAGTCTTTTCCGGTTTTAGTCTCACGACCAGGACATTCACCGAAAAAAGCAACATCCAAGAATGGATTTCACCTATTTTAATGGCCAAATCGACGAAGAATTACTTGAACTTGTTGTCGAGGTAATGTAGTCCGTTTCTTTGTGTACTTTAAAGGCGCTGCAGCCATTATCTCTGTCTCCGCGAATAAGAATTTAAGTCATGGCGATGTAGGCCCTTCTATCAAACTTCAATATTTCATTTTCTAACGAGTAATTGCAAGAATGCCGATTGAACATAATGTATGTTCGATGAACCAGGGATAATGCTAGTGAAAATGTTGATTTACATTATAATTAGGCCTAGGTTTAAATTACTTGTTTAAGATACTTGTTTTAAATTAATGATGTTGGCTTTGGCTTGATTTTTCATCGACACGGCAGCAGCACCAGTCAACATATAAACAAATCACGAAACAATAAAATGGAAAGTTTCTCGTCTAATCATGTTTCCCGTGTTTGTTATACTTTTGAGGGTACAGAGCTGTGCACCCCTGTAGCAGGTGTACGTCTGGTTAAATTATTATTGATGTTTTCCTTTTAGGAAACCACTATTAAATTTTGTGATGACAGTCAAATTTTGTTATTCACCAACAAACGAGGAGCAATGCAAAGAAAAGGAAAGTTAAAGAGCCATATCGTAAGAAAAAGGGGGTGACTTTAAAGGAAAAAGAACATGATGCCCCTCAGATTTGTATGAATTCAATCATTAAGGGTGCTTTAGAATCGATGGCCAACAAGACGGTTTTGATGGAATATAATGGAAAGTTCTTCAGAGGCTACTGGAACTTGCAGGACCTGCTGATACAATAGGCTTCCCAAGAGGTCTTTTTAAGAACAAATTGGAAAGCAAAACCAATTATCTGGATTCCATGTGGGAAAATTTCCAGAAAGTATGGAGGATGAAAATGTTAGAACAAATGTGCAAGCCCACTTGAAATGCTCAGCTATCAGGCAAAAGTTAATATTTCTTAAAATACTTCAACAATTGAATATGGATGAAATATGAACTAAACAGCTTGAAATATAGCTAATATTACAAAAATAATTCTAATAGAGAAATATTCATTTTCTGGTCTTTTTAACAATATACAAAACTCGTTATGCCAAAATTGCTGGTATTCTAGTTTTTATTACTAGCCCCCTCTATTACTGAAGCATTGAAACACTTTCCTCGCTTTCCAAATAAGAGGAAAGCTACATCTCTTTCTTTTCTTCAGAGGATTTCTCAGAGAGAACAAAATTTGTATCATTCGAAAAGAGGTCCACAGAAAATTTGTTCCGAATATTACCAGTTTTGTCAGCAAGACCTAAGGGTACAGTCTCATCAGAGCTATGTAAAATGACCCAGGGCTGTTTTATTTTGCCAATGCTCTTTTTGAAATCTGTGAAACCTCTTCATTTGTAAAGCACTGGTAAGGGCACCTCTTGAAAAAGTCTTTCAAGCTCATGCCTTTGTTTCCCTTGGTTATTTTCATGACTTCTTTTATGTAAGAACTGTGTAGGCAAACTTCCAACAAGGAGGTCTTTTCTTCCAGTCTTTCCTACAAACAACATTATGAAATAATTTATTGTCAATATGAATACAAGATAAAGAAAATTTGAGTTGCCCCCAACTTTGCTTCTAATTTTGTTAGATATTTTTGTCTCAATGACAGTTGATGATTTTGACACTTTTCTCAGGGGGACTTTCGTCCCATCAGACTATTGCCTGCTTTGTTTATTCAACGGTGACACTGTTGATATTCTCAGTCGACCTATCACCAGCAACTGATTGATAGGAGTTGTGGGGGTCGTGACAGCTCCCCCCAATAATAAGTCAAAAATCGATTGAATTCCTAAGTAATATTTATATAACCTATTTCGTAGCCCCCCTACCCCCGAAAGGATTTTTTAATGAGATCTGCATCCAATCTTAATAATAAAACTCTTATAAAATAATAGGCAAAAATAATAATCAATGAAAGAAGTAATGAAAGTTACAGTGACTTACCGATCCTAAAGCAATGTTGATCAAAATGCCTTGCGCAGATGTAGGCCCTCTCTGCGTTGAAACTCCTATCGCATCTTTTTACTTTACACAAAAGCTGCGTTCTCCACTCCTTTTTTCTTTCATTTTTCGTTGAAAACGTAACAAGGGACAAATTAGCTTATCTTGGTAAGTCTACAACAGTTAACTACCGTGCCGAATAGCTGCGAAGCTCGTCATTATCAGTCAAAACCAAACAAACCGGAAATGATCATTCCCTACAAGTTTGAATAAGCAGTGATGCGTAACATGTTCTATTGTCCGCTTTGCAGTTTCCTATCCAGTCACTATTCGAGTATCTTTGGTGCAAGAACAAATAAAATATGGGCAAATGTGTAGATATATTGTGCAATGTTGTGACTGTGAAGAGTGTAGGACACAAAGATTTAGTATGTTGTAAAATGTTTGCCTTTTTAAAGCCATTTTCAAAATTTATACTGCAATCTGGCACTGACGTAAGTACACGACAAACCTTTAAACATCGGGTTTGTTCGTGTCAAGTTAGATTAATTTTTTAGAAGGGTGGGGATAAGGTTCGGATTAGGTAGACATTTATTCGTTTGGTATCCTTTCATTTACTATAAGAGGTATTAGGCAAAAAACATTCAAGAAGTGCCTAATCTGCAAAGTTGTAATAGAGAAGTGTACGTAGCTATTTACGAAGATTGTTGGGAAATCCCTCTGGTGTCTCGAATGTTCTGTCTTCGCGACACAGCACCACGCAGCGTTACACTGCATTCCATTATATTGTTGTAGGATTACCCCTTATTAGGATTACATCATATTGCGTATTCGTCTGTTTCTAGAATTATCTCGTAGTCTATCATTAGCAACATTTTATGCTTAGTTATGCTTTTCTGGTAATTTCCTTGTACATATAAATATACGTAGTTAGTTAGATTCGGGGAGATTCGAGGAGAGCTTTATGTCTTCAGCAACAAACGCATTAGTGAAAGATCCGGTCAAGTCCCCGGCGGGCACAGTCAGTTGGTCCAATGTATATCGTGTGTGTTCTTGAAAGTAGAAACTGGAGCCCTATCTCTGATTCTGGGATGCGTAAAATGTACCCTATTCTGTGACTTTGCCAAAATTGTGTAACTCTTTTCACTGAGAATATTCAAGCTTGAACAGGAATTTTTGATACCAATTCATGTTAGAACCATTATTTTTCTTAAACTTATGACTAGGCAAGTTAAAAAGCAGAGTTCACTAAATTTGATTTCAACATCAATCTCTTGTGGTTCTTGACATATATATTTACAAGATCAGACATCTGTAAAACTATAACTGCAACATATTGCTTGCTTCACAACATTGTGTTCAATGCTTTTTATGAAGAAATGAAAAAGTTGTGTCCCTGCAATGAGTACATGCTAACAAAGACTTTAATTTCTTATCTAGGATTAGAGCAATATACAAGACTAGACGTACTGCAAAATTTGTTGTACTTCAATATGCAATTGATTTATCTAGAAAGTTATCTGCAACATCATGTCAGTAAATTCCTGCCCTTTTTGTGTTTCCTCTGACTGATTAAGAATGCAACCCAGTTTTCAAGATTCTATGTTCTAGAATTCTAGCTTTTTTCGAGTTTTTCGGAACTCACATGTAATACGTTTTACGAACAGACTGAGCCCCCCGTGATCAACTTTAAGGAGAGTTAAAAACTTGCTTCGTTCATAAAACTGACAAGATAAACCTAATCAATGTTGGAAATTAAATTTGCATGACAGTGAAGAATGTTCCCGTACCTTCAGCCGATTGCGTGAAGATGACTTAACCATAAAATTTTTTAGCTTTTAAGAAAAAATTCCATGGAGGCGAACGAATTAGTGTTTAAGTGGGGATGGTGCGAAAACAAAGGGGGACTAAATTGTTTAAATATGAAAGTAAGAAAATTAATATCATTATTATGTCCAACATGTGTCATAATTTTTATAATTGTCTAAATTACTGTGAAGTCTGTACCATTTTTGGCACTTACTAACGTTTCGGAAAAGAATATTTGTGCCCTTTTTATTCGTTTTGGCCCCCCCCCCCCCTGTTCAAAACTGCGTTCGGCGGCCCTGGTGTAAGGCTAAACACCAGAAGGTAGCTTACCGTTTCGCCCAAGAGGCTTGTGAAAGCTCTAGCGGCCCAGTTTGGATTTAGGACAGGCAGTGCTTGAGAAAGACTGCGCTGTGCCTCGTTATATGTTTCATTGGATTGTTTTAGAGTTCGCGGAGAACCGTCGTCGTTCATGCTAGCTGTTTGGATTAAAGTTTAGCCTTGGAAATGTTAGTTGATGGAAATGGAAAGAAAAGTATAGCCGCTCGCAAGAAATCGTCATTCTGTAAAGTTTCAGTCTTCTCAGTATATCTCACGGTTTAAATCATCCATTTTACAAATTGATGACGTCATAAAAACATATTTTTAAAATTTATGAATTTTGATCCCAGAACCTAAAAGAGCACCACGAAATACCTCTAAATCTGCAAAATCAGTTAAAGGTATTACGAATTGGCTGAGATATGGCCACATTAGCACAGGCTCTTGCCCCATCAAACCTCTGTAATTTGGTCTTGGTTCATAACTTTATGAACTAGGCCAGAATAACAGAAATCCGTTAGCAAACTTCAAATCTTCTATTGGTCATATCTCGCCCAATTTGGAACATATCTAGCTAATTTTGCACATTGAGAGGTATTTTATGCCGTTCTTTCAGATTATGTGGCTAAATTCAAGAAATTCTAAAAATATATATTTGACGACGTCACACTTCTTCGGTACTCTTTTAGGCTATGGTGTACAAGTTTAGCTCAGTGTCCTAGGCAACACTTCACGAACATTCTCTTATGATTCCATTCTTTCATTATGTTTATGACAATAGATAAGTTGAAGTTAATAATCTTTAATATATACCTTAAGAATGTTGCTTAATGAAATGAAATTTGAAATTATATTTTGAACAACAATTTGCTTTTCTAGAGTCGACTGATGCGATTTAGTAGCTTTCGATTTAGTAGCTGGTAAAGAATTAGTGGCTTTCAATGTTGGTAAAAAACGGATTTATTAGTTATTTGCATTTCAAATGTACACAACTTTTTGCAATTTTTTTTTTACCTATTCTGAGTGCCTGAGGACCAGATCTTAATTTTGGAATTATGCCAAAATTGTGACAAAATTATGCTAGGTTAACAAAAATTATGCTAAATTTAAAATCAAGGCTATCCTGTTTGAGAAAGAGGCAAGTGCATGCGCCTGTAACGTAATAATATGAACAATTTACTCACAAAACAATAGTCACAAAACACACATGATTGTAGAAAACAGATTGTTTTTAATCTTATTTTATTTGTTGTTGTTTACGTAGAACTATTTTGGACTTTTGACCCTGTTATAATTAGATATGTTTAGCATTGTTTAGTCATGTATATTGTTAACATCACGTGGATTGGCTCGTGCCCAGTCCTCGCTGTAGGTGTGAAATCAGACACGCGGTCTTTTATGTTAGAATTTTGAGAGTTGTAGTGTGGACATCATCGAGATCAGTCATGTAATTTGTTAAATAGATTTGTTTTGTATATATTTGATTAAAGAAAAGGAATATGTTCTCAATGCTTCAAGAATCTGCGTGTGCAATCTAGTAGTACACAACAATGTCCTCGGCGACACAAGACATTTCTTCTCGTTATAAGCGTGTCTTCGAGGATTTGTAATCATAGCCCTATATAAACTTTGGGCTTGTTTTACCCAAAGAAAGAAAGAGAAAGCATCGATAGTAGTTTGTACGAGTTGCAAGCAAAAGAAGAAACCGTTTTCGGCGTAGTATTTAGCTGTGAATAAGCATGTTGCTTAGATAATGCTACGAGGTCAAACAAATAGTAAGTTGAAATTAATTTCGGTTAACCTGTTTCTGTTTATGTTGCTTATACTTCACGTTGTTATTTTCATTTAGTTGCATTACATTTAGAACTCGTTAATTAATTATGTATAATTTTATCAACTATTTTGTAATCTTGTTTATTTAGCGAACAATTATCAAGATTGAAAGAACGCCAGCGTTGTGTTTGCTTTGTGGTATCTGGGTTCATTTCTAATTAGTTCGTGCCCTCCTCCGTAGCAGATTTGCTTTGAAGCTACAATGATGATGAAAAAAGTTTTTAACAAAGTTTCAAAATTATGCAAGAATTATGCTGGATTTCAAATTATGCCAATTTTTATGCTAAATGACGAGTTTTCGTCAAAATTATGCCAAAGCATTATATTATGCTAGATCTGGCTGCACTGCAGTAAACCCAATGCAGGACTCATACCAGAGGGAGCTAGGGGGTCATTGCCCACCGAAATTTATCTAAATAAAAGGTTTAAATAAGACCAAACTTTCATATATAAAAACTTGTACATTACAGAAAGACACACAGCCACAGTGGGGGCTACGCGGTTGAAAGGACAATTTGATTTTTATTAATCGCCTCTCCAGTTTGAAATCGGTTGCGCAAAGCCTGCAATAGGATTCAAAGCCTAAGAGACCCGCTAAGAGATCTATGTGAATCAATGCCTCAATGACTTGCCTATATTGTCATGATATATACCGACAAACATACAAACACGACAAGAAATACAAAGGGAAAAAGTTGCCAGGCATATTAGCCTAAAATTAACTGAACAGAACCGCCTAGCTTATCACTAAATCCATTTACTAAATTTTGGGAGGCTTCAGGACTACACCCTTCTTTTCATCCTCTTTCCTTGCTGAAAGATCTCTTACACTGTTTTTACATACGAGCCAGTAATTTGAGGTTCGGGCTGGCTGCTTTTAATTTTTCCCGTTCTTAATGTGCTCTAAAATTATTATGGAGTAAGTCACAAATTATGAAAGATATGGGACAAGATGCAATATTTTACTGCAGAACAACATTGAATCATGTGTCGCTTTAAATAGAATTAGCCAAAGATAAACACCACTTCGAAATATATCTCCTTTATCAAAATGATTTTAAGAACAATTTTTGACAAGTCATACCAATGATTTAATTGCATCTGCAAAAAAATGTTGATCAAAATTACTTTTTGCAGTATCTCAGCCTTCGCTTGTCTTCGCTCTGTTTTTGATTTTGGACACATTTTAAGGCTCGTGTTTTGATAAAACTGTTCTTACAAATAAAGAGTGTACAAGGGTCATCTACAATTCACCCTGTAGATTTGCTTTGCAAAATGTGCCCGCGAATTTAATAAAAAAAGGAAGCAGTCTCTGAAAAGAAAATTTTAAGAAATCCTAGATTTTGAACAAGTTGTGAAATATTTTTGCATGTTTTCAAATATTACAGTTAGCATTTGGATGAAATCTAGCCATTTTTGCTTTGAAGTAACAGACTAGAATTACAGCATTTAAATACATTTGTTTGGCTTGTTCTACAGAAGAAGGCCTAAACAGGCAGTTTGCAAAGGGGTTTCAAATACTCTTGAATGATATGAATTCAAGAATAATGCATTATCATAGAGTTTCGTTTTTTTCATGTAAGCTATAGAATAACAGAATTCTCAAAGAGGCTCTTTCAAGCACAAAATAATACAAATGGCAGAGTTCTACAAAAAGATAACTGATGCTTATTAAACAACTATTGACAAATAAACTTTTATACAAGAAACTAAACCCTCTACACGTACCTTTCTGTGCAAAAATATATCAACAACATAACGAAAATGATAATACTGAAGAGTAGGCTCAACAAAATGAATTCAATCTCAACAGAACTTTAACTAACATTATCGGCCGACAATTATTTGTGGTCCAGCATCAGAATAATGTTTGGAGACTTAATGAACGTAAGTATATAAAATGTTTTCGAGCATTTAACAGGAATTTGCGATGGATCAAAATGATATTACTTCTGGTTTAAGAAGGTGACATTATTTACATGATGCTTAAATTGTGGGAATTTTCTCGGTGCGTATTGGCATTTAATTCATTTGTTCCTTATCTCTAGGGTTGATTGCTAGAATGATCAATACAGTGTTCAGTTTTTCCACATTGACTGGCCCTTCCAGGATTATGACAAAAAATACGTCAGATCTATGTGGTATTACTAGTTTCAACTATGTTAGATCTATGTTGTATACAATCCAATACTACCTTCTGACTGGTTTTGGGGAGCCCTTTTTTAGTAAATCAGACTTTGAGCTTGTGGCTGCTCCCTTTCTTAAGTTCGAGTCTGTTTTCGACGGAAGTTTCGTTCCTTTGCCTTGACTCCAGCACTCTTTATTAATCTGAATACCATCCACTTGAATCGACAGTGACTTCGCAGGTATTTGAGTGAACGACTTCGCACCACTGCTATACCTATAAAGACACATTAAATATAATAAACTCTACTGGTTTGTCTTAAAAGGAACATCATTCAACTGAAATGCAGTCATAACTAAAACAGCCTGATTGGTTTCTTACTTGCAAACACACTTTTTCAAAACAGGGTATATCATGGTATAAGAAACATCAATATACAGTTCAAGTCTCGCCTTTAATTAAACTAACATTTTCGATCAGCCTATTCAGCATATTTCAAATAGCCTATTAAAACATCCCAATGTACTTTGTTTGAGCTCACGATGTTTTGCCTGCTCGTGGTCGACCTTGTTAGCCATGTTTTAGCGGGTAATTTATCTATGTCATCTGTCCGAAGTGCAAAGGTAAAAATCAACAAATCAAGTCAGGGGGCACGTCAGAAGGAGGCTCTATCTGCCCACATGATATGACATTTAGCCTTAGGCCAAAATTGCTGATTATAGGGCCGATTTTCATATGCTGTCTAACATGGCAAACTCAGTTTCAGTTTTATGCCGAATCAAGTGTTCGCGGTTATCATGATTATAAACAGTATGATGTACACATTGGAGTGATCCTGCATTGTGAAAAAGAAAGGGATAATCCTCATGATATTTGCGCTATTGGAGAATACAACGAATCAGGCAGTCCTCTTGGTCATGTTCCAATAGAGCTATCTGCCATTTTCAGTAGATTTCTTGATGATTATGGAGAGTTAGAAGCTGAGTGTATTGGATCCAGATTTAATGCAGGTGAATGCAAAGAGCCTCAGTTCCCTGTCGATTACAGACTAACAGGAAACAAAATGTACTTGAAGACTTTGCGTGAAGAGCTAAGAATCATCAGTAAAGATGTTATAAGAAGGCTTTCAAAGATTACTAGTTTTGAGTTAGTTATCTAGCCTAAGCTTAATTGGAAGATATGGTTAAGCAAACTAAAACTTCGTAATTTAGCAGGTTCAAAAGCCACACAATCCAAAAGGCAAGACACGCAGTAAATAATGTTATGCCAATAGAATGCTAACATTATATATGTACATCGTTATCATTTATTAAAAAGTAAGGCAATGCCTCAAGGGATGTACACCCTGGAATGTCCCAGAAGTATCAAATTTGCAAAATTGTCTCTGCATGTTGATCTATCTTTCTTTTAAGTTTATAAAGCAGTTTAAAACTTGTCAGTCATAGCTTTGAAGAAACATCAAAATATATAAACCGTATAATATTACTATTTACCTTTTTAAACGAAACTGTGTATGAACCAGCCTGGAGGGTTTCTTATAGCGGGATGTTTTTTTAGCAAAATCAGGCCTGAGTTTCTTATAATGCAGTTTCTTAACTGCGGGACTTTACTGTACCTGGGTATCTGATTTCGCCTTTGCTTCAAAACACACGTTAAAAAGAATAAACGTCACATGCTGGTACTAAAAAAACCCTCGTTTAACTAAGAGGTAATCACTCTCATTTATCACACCTGGGTATCTGATTCTACCTTTGATTCTAACAAAGACCAAAACAAAGACCAAAGACCAAAACAAAGACCAAAAAAAGACCAAAACAAAGACCACAACTAAAGCCAATTTTTGCCGTATAATGCTACAGCGATCTTGTGGTCTGTGAGGCGCTTTAACACCTATAAATAAACATCTATACATTATCAAGGCATACTGTACTTGGAATCAGTCGAATCAAAGTATATATGGCTACTACCACTCACTTAAACAGTCTGTCGATCATTTTATTGACAATCACTTTCGGGCCAACACCGTAAATCTTGTGGGCCTAAAAATAAAAGACTTGAAATTATTTTCATTTCATCTTCAATTAACACTTGCTGTGTCTTCATTTGCGGGCGAAAAATTGTACATCTATCAAAAAAGAAACCTAAAACAGAGAAAGGCAATGATTCACTATTCATTTGCCAAAAAGAAAACAAAATTTTAAGAAGGTTAGTTTTCAGAGCAAATAATATTGGCAATTAGAGAAACCTACCTCGTCAACCTCCTGTACATATGTGTAGAGGCCTCGGAACTTCAAACCATCTCTGAACAATACAAAGAAGTGGGTGGCATTTGATTGTGATAAAACCTGCAAGAAACAGAGCCGACTTAATACACGAACACCACTGGCCTTGTTTCAGTGAGTGAACTGAGTGAACCAACATTCAATAAGGTTGTGATGTGATGACCGTAAGGACCGATGGGACTAAAACCTACTCTTCAAAGAAACGATCGGCCTCCTTTCCTGAAACAAACACCGGCTTACCAGCAATATATAAAAAAATACCCCCTAAAAAGTTACACCTCCTCTCCTATGACTCGAGAAGAGTTAACTGACCCAAATTACATTACAAGAAATCCACGTGGACAAAATTCAAATTTTGCTAAACTCAGAAATAATCTGTCTAAATATTTTGTATCAAATTCTCCTCTCGTGCAATTTCGAAGATTGACATTAGTGTCATATGTGACTTGTTTATCGCTTCTTCAGGCACAGATAAAGAGTTGTTCGGATCTCATATGTCGTGCCTACCCTAGAGGACATAGTATTCAGCCGGTCATACCTGCAATGACTTCTCCTTTGCCTCTTTGTTCACTTCCCCAGACAAGCAGCAGTAAGAGATGGCGTTGACTATAATCTGACGATTTGATTTTCCCGTTGGCTTTACATACACTGGAGGACCTGGAAAAACAATGAGAGCGGCGTCAACACAGGGCAGCAAGCTAAAACGGTGCTCCCAAGCAAAAAAATAGAGAAATAAATACCCGCATAACAATACATTGCACAAGAACCTTGGTGAATTCAGGAAAATTCTTTAAGCATGAGGGTATTATACAATAAACAGGAATTTTTGATAAAAGATTGCTGCTTCACTTTTGATTGCCTGATGTCAAGATCAGATATCATTCTTGAAACATTTTTCGTTTCGCACAAATCCTTCAGTTCGCTATTTTTCAGGGCATTGTTTCATTCTAGCGCTGTCACGAACAATGTACACATTCAAGAATAAAATAAAAAAAGAACAATTATGAAAATAATAACCTTTGTACTCCGCAAAGCTTGATTGTTGGGGTGGATTGTCCTCGACCTGTCCTAAAAGCGGGCTTCTCGAAATTCCGGAAGGTGTTCCCTGTTTTTTGCCGGGAGGTGTACCCCTAGAAAATTACAGATGAACAATTTGTGAGTTTACTTACATATCAAACAATATCGTACACACAATAAAAAAATGTTCTCCGCAAAGTCACCTTGTAGAATGAGTTCTTCTTTCCATAGTAAAGAGGCTTTAGTTTTCAAGGGTAAAGTAAAGAACATGCACTTCACCCTGGCATACGGGACTTCATCAGAGCAAAAGTAAAAAGTGCACAAATTAAAATGGGCGATTGTGATGTCAGATTGGTGGGTGTTGAGTGGTGTGAATGCAGCGCAGCCTAGAAGAAACAGGTAATGAGAGTGGAAGAGGGGAGAGTGGCGAGTGAGAGAGCGTGGGTGGTGGTGGTGGAATGAAAGTGTTATGTGGTAAAGCAATGGTGATAATAATAAAAAGTTATTATAATATTTCATAATAAAAATTATCATAACAATGATATAATAACAAAAATAAGACAATGATAACGATAATATTGAGAGTGATGAAAATAATTATAAATAAATAATATTTGTGTGGTAGAAAAAGTGACAATGTGGGTGATAATGGTGTGTTGCTGTAAAGTTAACGGTCAGTGGTTTGGTTCATGTCGTTCGGTGTGAAAGTGTTTGCCAAGCCAATGAGATATTGCTCTTGGCTCGTCGAGCCCTCTCTCGTTTGTCATTAAGCTGCAGCAATGTTGTCACATATGGTATGTTCTGGGTTGTAGAACATACCAATACAGAGCATAACAAAATCAATACAATTAAAATTCCTGTGATGTTATTTTTCTCGGGCTTAAACCCAAGGGAAGTGGTACATGGGTACTTTCGAATAGTCCTTGTGTTACTAACTATAGAACTTGTATGCAATAATATACTTTAAAGATATCACACATATCATTTAACTAGGTAAATCATCATATATGCATACCATTGCTCGTCCCTTCTTGGAATGCGGAAAGGGGCACACTCTACTTCTTCAGGGTCCCTCAATTTTCCTCTCAGCGTTTCCTCTTCCTGCTTCTGTTTTCTCAATCTCTCCTGCTCTTCAATTTCTTTCTTCTCCAATTGAGCTTTTCTCTCCTTTATTTTCTCTTCTTTTCTAGATTTAAAACGTGTCAGAGTTTTTTTAATCCGTGGCCAAAAGAGGTCAACTTTTACTGAGCAATGTTTGAAATAATCGCGTGGTGCTCAGCATTGCGTCGCAAAGAAACAACCACAACAGTTACTCAAAAACCCATTGGATGTTAAGGAGCTCGTTTAAAAGTTTTGTTAGAAACCAAGACAACTGAGCAAGCCTGTGCAAGGCTGTGCAAGACACAAATAAGTGGTCAAACAGACAAAACATTGCTCTCAGCAAACATGTTCAGTTTTGCTCAATGAACGACAAATTGAATAAATGACCTGAAATCAGCGTGTGGGAGAAATTTGCTCAGGCAGAATGGCATAAACGGCGTTTTGCCTAAGTAGAATTATCTCACAATATGCAAACAATTGTTAAAGGCTCTTGCGCAACCGGCATGCTTTGCGACTATAATTCCAAAACTGGCCTTATATCGTACTGCATGTAAATACAAAACACAGTCAGATTCTCATGGCAGCTGCCGCTAAGCATGACGGTTGCGCATAAGCCTTTTAAGGCACTTTGCCCCAACACATTTCGCAGGCCATTTAATTTTCCTATGGGTTGAACTACACAATAGATCTGTTGTTACGTATCACAAACTCGATCACAAACGCGCTGCAAAGCCTATTGTTGTAAAGGTTCGTGTCCAGTCCCCACGTGTTGAGGTCACGTGAAGCGACTGTCAGGGGTATGTATTTTTAAATTAGTACACGCACGAAAAGTTGGAGAAGATGCTTACAAACGCTAGGCGTTGCATATAATCAAAGTTTTGTTTTATTAACGAAGTTGTTTTTCTTCATGTTCCTGCCCTAACAATACAACACCCATTGTTAACTATGAACGGTTGACTGACGGGACACAGTGCCTTTAAGCCACATCTTTTGTGAGGTGGGAGGGATACCACGCACTCTCATTGCAGATAAGATGTCTAAAAATTATCATATTGTCAAAACTGTTATTTACCCAAAAAGAGCACGGCACTTTCTTTTAAAACAAACTATACATTAACAAGAGAGAATTTGAATATGACTGATTTTGAAGAGAGTAGATAATGTAAGTAAGAAACATGCATTACACTGAAGAAGCAGATGTTCTAGATGGCCCCAAATTCAGACTACTTCAAGACTTACCTTCGTTTTCGCTCCTGCTCCGCCTCCCTCTTTGCTTTCTCTTCCTGTTGTCGTTTCAGTCTGTTCTGGATAAATTTCTCTTTCTTCTTTTGTTGCTCTGGCGTGAGTGTCTGCAGAAAAGTGAATTCATTTATTATAAAAGTAGCAGCAGCTTGGTTGCATTTCTTGATAATTAATCTACTAGATTTGCTTCTCAAGCGTATGACGTCTTGGAAAACAGAAGAAATTCTACACTATTAGCATGTTATAGCCCACAAAGAATATGACAGAAAGGCAGTAAAAAGGGCTTGCTAGCATAGTATTCATAAATAGCATTACGATTTATAGCATTATAGCGAAAGATATGCAGCAGACTTTGAATTTTGGGTTGGTAAACATTAACACGATGCACTTAATTATTTTGTCTTAAAATTCACTTGCTTTTCTTACATCCCATGCATGTATTCTGTGTTTCCACTATTCCAGTGCATGCTAGTAGCAATATATGGAATAATGAAACAATTTGGGATGCTCCCTAAAATCTCTGCATGCTCGCTATACAGTTCTTAATGCCACATAAGCCTTGTGCCATTTTATCAATACATATATCAATACAAACTGCATTTTCTAACTTGATTTTAAGCAGCTTTTGTAATAGCACTATTTTGTTGAAACTGAAGCTTCTTTGAACTCAAAGTGTAAGATTAGCCATAACTGATAAGGCATCCAAAAGCATTTTATATAGGAAACCAGGAATACTTGATAGAGTGTCTGTTTGTATAATAATATCTTTAGTTGACGCTATATGCAAAGAACGACTGTGGCCTATTTTAAGAAACCCGAGAAAAACAAATGATTACCGTTTGCGTCGACTCGATGTCATCCGTTATCTCAATGATCGTTTTGCAACTAGGACCAGCTGCCGAGATATCATCACCCGGAATAACCATTGCAATGCCCTTCTCCTTCGGAGTTCCCTCTTCGCTTATCGCGTCCTCGTTTTGTAATGCAAACATTGCAGTTTCTCTTGGAGACTCTTTTCTCAAAGAACCAGCCGCTGCATGTCCTTCAATATCCGGAGGAGGCTCATAATGAGCCCTGGCTTGGCTTTCAACATATTGTCTTGTAATGTCATCAGGTTCTTCATAGCTATTTTTTCTTATTACTTCATCCGTGTTGATATACTCACTCCTTGGGCTATAACCGGGTCGGGTATCTAGTCTTTCATCAACACTTTTTTGGTATGGTGGAAAGTCATCCGGTTTTACTAAGTAAGGATCGGTCCAAGCTGTACGACGTCCGGTGTTATTAGTAGAAGCGTCTTCAAAACCACGGTCGTCAAGTCGCGATGACTGATGAGGTTCTTTCCCAGACTGTGGCATCGCCACGTGATGCCTGGAGTCAGAGGTATATGCATTCTGTTCTTTGCTTTGGTATTGTACTCTAGGACTGACGAACACTTGATCTTGCAGTTCGCCGGATTGATTCTCAGCCTCAAGGGCTTCATAACTGGTGCGTTTAGGCAACGAAAATGCTGCACTCTGTTCTCCTATCGTGCTTGCTTCCATAATTGTAGCAGAGCCGATACGATTTTCACGCACTGGGTAGTCCGAAGTTGTGGATGGTTGAGTATGATTGCCAGGGTCCTGACTGGGTATCGGGGTAAGGGGGGTCGAACATTCATTAGGGGGAGACTCCAAAATGTTCCTCTTCGCTTTTTGATTATTTAAAGCTTTTGCTGGGTCATTTTCGTCGGAAAAAGGAAAAAATATGAGACCGGGTTTCTTCTTTTTTTCAGCATCCTACAAAAGGAGTGAAAATTCCCATCAAAGAAAAATGGGGCAAAATAAATGATTACAAATTTTCCAATAACTTAACTTGATTTGCTATATGAAAACAAATTGCTGGTAACAACTTTTCGCAACAAAATTATTTCATTAAGAGATCTAGTTCAAAGGGTCTTTGCTGCAAAAAATTATTCGAAAGCTTAGGGGAGCATATTAATTTGAGACGATATTTTTATGGCCAAGCTCCAAGTAGAAATTGTAGATACCAACAGATTTCAACAAATTTCCAGAATGCAGAAATTATACCAGTTCTGAGTGCAGAAAAGATTCTTTGAAATGTTTTAAGTTCAAGTAAAGGGTGGAAATCACAAATATTTTGGCATGGTCGACCATCCAAACAAAACCATCCTTCATCAAAGACGAAGAAAGTTGTGCCTAAAAAATTTCATACCTTACATTCTGCTACATTTCACTATCTATACAGTTAGGCCATTACATGTTCTGTAAATAGTTTACTTTCGATTTTACTTGATGTATATATTTATATTGTAAATATAGCATATATTCTTGCCCTTCATGAACTGGATAAGCTGTAAAACAGTATGCGTATGCAATGAAACGAAGATGTAAAGAATCAAAAATAAAAAAATATACCAGAGCTGCTTGCTTCTCTTGCTCTCGTCTCTCTTGCTCCAGATTGGACTCTTTTCCAACAGCAAGCCAAAAGGCCTGTTGTCCCAGTTTCGTACGCTCCTCGTTCCACTGGTGCATCATTTTCCGCTTCTCTTCTTCGATATGTCTTCGCTTCTCCTCAAGCTGCATTTTCAACACAGCTAGCCGTGGCGCAAGCGACTCTCTCTGTGATTCGTTTCCACGATCATCTAAAATACAAACAGAAACCTTTAAAGCTTTCCAAATACAAGGACTGGTATAAGATTTCTACCAGTAACACGAAAAGAATCGGTTGCTTACCGAAAGAGTTTAAAAATATACCCAAACTATACACGCATCAAATATCTATGACATTACATATAAACTAAATGACTGGTTGAAACGTGACACATATAAACACGATGAAACATGACAGGCTAGCCAACATAGAATTTCCTGCAGGACGCCCTGCTCGGCTGAACACACGAAAGACAGTAAGGGTACCATCATTATGCGCGCATGTGTTGAGACTTTCTATGCTTCTTATGTATCTCGACCGCAAAATTGTCTTGAAAAATAGAGATTTAAATGGTGGAACATTTCTTGACATAATGACGAAGTAATGCTGATGAAAAGCATCATTAACGTCAAGAAAGAAATGAAACAATACAATATATCGAATGACTACACTGAAGAAAGAGCCTTCATTATTCGTTTCCTTTCATAAAGCATGCAAAAATGCAAAGCTTCGCACGATGAGCACAGTTACAAAAAAGTGTTTTATTCCATATTGGTTTTCCTATTGAACGCAGGTTGTTTCACCCAAACAACTATCGAAAACTGGCGTGATGCCACGCGGGATGTCCCTCGTGACACAGCCCCTTTAATAAAATGATTGAATAATAAATTATAAACTTTCTTATTCTCAAAATTTTACTCATTCTTTGTACCAAAACACAGTTTCAAAAATTTAGGAAATATGAACAGAATCTAAGTAATCGATATTCAAAGCTTTCAGATGAAGCGAATATTAGATCAGACTTTGAGACGTGCAGTTTTCTTAGAAATCGTTGACCTTCAGCTTGGGAAGTGAGAAAAGTCAGTTTAAAAAAAAGTATACCTATTGCAATAAAATGTGCGCGAACTAAGGCTAACCGGAGACGAGAATCATGTTTATTTGAAAATTATCTTAATGGAATTAAATTTGCTTGTTGCGAACATTCCTAGCAAACTAAATGCACGGTATGATTTTCACCAGCGGACCATCCTCATTACCTTCGACCCTCTGCTAAATTTTTCTGCTAAAAGCAATGAGCTAGCTAGCATGTACTGGTGTTAGTCGAACCTACCTACAACATTCAATATACGGAGATGCACAGCGGAACCACTAATACTTAAACTAAGAAATGGGTGTATACGATCTGATGTGCAGCAACCATGGCTTTACCCTCAAGATGGCTTTGCACATAATGCAAACATCAGGCAACTATATAACTTACAATTAAGGTAAAGTTGTTTTAGGAAAATAAGAGTGAATCAAGCACCTATGTACAGAACTGAAGATCAATATCGTAACGTATATGCGATTAATCAATTGCTTGATTGAGCAGTGCAATCGAAGTTATGATTTTTACAAGGAAGTAAGACTCTTAAAGCTCCCTCTACCCCCCGCCCCAAAAAAAACTCACGCTACAGAAAGCCATCTCAAATAAATCACCTATTCAAACAAACCTTTTGCTGCTCGTTTATACCGAGGCTTCCGCGTGTTTTTTCGGTTGAGATCGAGACTATGACCCGCATCTTTGGAGTGTCTGTTACCTGACCTCGTTTCATGAACAGAATTGAGCTCTTGACGCGAATCTACCGACAAAGAATGATGGTCCATGTCGTCTTCAGTTATTCTTGCACCTCCTGCTACCCACGGCCTCAATTGCTTTTCTTTGCCACTCTGATAAATTTCCTCTTCATTGTGTTCATCATGTTCATGCAAAACACTAGGATCATCATCATCTGACCTTGACGCTTCCTCGTCCCTCTCTTCTAAACATTGCTTGTGTTTATGAGAGCCATTGGCGTAATCTGCGTGATATTTGCTTGTTTCCTGAGACAACCTCCTTTGCAAATACATATCCTCCTTTCCATGCCTTTTATCAACCCTGATGACTATCTCAGATTCATCTTCGCTCATTGTATTTAATTTTGTCAATGATTTAGTCATAAAAGTGCACAATTTTTCCAGCTTTTCCAGCAATGGTTTTCGCTTAATATCGTAACTCATGGGTCTGTGCCCGAGATTCTGCGTTCTTTGTGCCCTCGGTAATTTGAACGGGTTCATTGTCAGGTCGCTGTCAAGACTGGGCATACTAGCAGAGGCCGTATTGACCGCCATGCTTTCTTTCATTGCTGTATTGCTTAACCGGCTGTTTTCTGAGACTTGCCTCTCAATGAGTCTATTGTTCTGATAGTTTCCCGCCAAATTCATGACGACGTCAACACTTTCGTCTCTCGTTGCATTTCTGTTGGATACTGTGATCACAGAATCAGACAACTGACGGTCGAAAGGCTTCTTATCGACCAATGCTTCGGCAGCAGTCTTTTCAAACTGATCTCTGCACATCTCAGATTCTTCGAAATCTGACAGTACACTCTCGCCTCTAACAAATTTCCGTTCAACATCTTCAACTAAACTTGACTGTGATTCTGATATCCCACTTGAAGGCCGGCTTCCATTTGAAACATAAAGATCAAAATCCTCCGCGACTGTTTCGTCTTGACCTTGCCTTATGTCCCTGTCCATTTCATATTTTCTTTCAGACGAAACAGTAGCAGCTTTTTCAATACTGCTTATCAATGCTGAATCTTCATTCGATTTATCTTCAAAGTGAGCTTTTTGCTTATCCTGAGATCCGACTTTCGATTCTTCAAGGTCGTCTTCATTAGATTTCTCAGGAAAACCTGAAGATTCATCAAATTTCGTGTCTTTCTCTTTATCAAAATCAGTAGATTTTCTCACAACAAAAGTCTCTTTTCTTCTGACACCCGTTTTGCTTGCTTCTTTTCCCAATTCCGGCTGCGTAACGGTCTTGTGTTCTCCACTTTTCCTCCTTGCTATTTTTGATGCGTCAAACTCTTCTCCTACAACAAAAAACTCTCCTTTTCGAGGCGAGTTCTTCTTTCTCTTTCCAACATCCTCCTCACTAGCACCAACATCAGCCCCAAATGATTCACAGTCGACGACGAAAAACTCACTCTTTCTTTTGAAAGGTTCTGCAGTTGAACCAATAGTTTCTAGGCCTGTCTCATTCGGCTGAACACTAAGCATATCAGATGTCACCTTCGCTTTTGCCAATGCTACTTCTTCAATATATCTGCTGCTCTGCAAGCCTGAATTCTCGCTCGATTGTCTTTCAAGCATACTACCAGTATCTTTATTGAATTGATCCAGCGGAGGAGCAGCCTTTCTCATTTCTTGCTCACTAAGAGATGATATTCTATGCAAAACCTCTTTTTCTGCATCAGGAGTGATTTCCCAGGATTTATATCTGGCTTTGTTTAAATCTTCAACTCCTTGCGCCAGCTTTTGTCTGCGACTAAATCCATTTTCAAATCCAGTTTCTTCATTAGTCATATCACTGACGAAAACCAAATCACAGTCATCGTGTCTAGCCTCGTTTGCAGCAACACCAATTCTATCTTCACCTTGGTCCTTTGTAGATACCATTTCCTTCTCTTTAAGATTTTCACCAGGGAGCAAGGGTGAACCATCCATTCCATGATTCTCGCTTCCATCCTGGATTCCTTTGGTTTCTCTAACACCTGAATGTTCTGTAGTATCAGAAAACATTTTACCATCAAGCACACTTGATGAATTATTCACCATCATAATAGCCGAAGACTGATCCTTCATTGATTTACTAATCCAAATATTGACCTTAGAATTAATCTCTTTGTCCTCCTCGCTACAATCAGTGCCGTTTTTCCAGATGTCATCAATTTTCTTCACCATTTCAGTATTTTTCTTCATTTGGAATTTGGAAAGACCAATCTCGTTACAATATTTCTCTCCATGGTCATCTGGAGATATAAAATGTTGACTTTGCGGTTCATTTACATCGTCCCATATCAAATCTCGATCAAAAGTTTCATGCAAAACTTTTGCTTTGGAATCAGCCGAGCCTTCAACACCGCAACTGTCAATTTTTGAATTAGCAAAAACTTTGGACCTAGAATATTCCTTTCCGTTATTTGTTTCTACCTGCTCTTTCTCGACGTCAAACTCGGCTCCATTCTCATCTTTCTTATCTTGACTTATATCAACAAAGAAGCCGATTCTTTGTGTTTCAAAACTCTTTCTAAACTTCTCTAGCGATTCTCGTTTTGAAACATGAACTTCTGCCTTTACAGGTTTCTCTCTCCGGTCACTATTAATAGTTTCATTTACCTTTGTAGTCTGAATCTTGCTATCAGAAGCATCCTTGTTTAAAGTGCTTGACTCTCCATCAATAACAAGTCTCGGTTGTCTTGAAACATTTTCCACTCCGCGACTTTCTAAAACGTAAGTTCCAGGTCTGGGTGATTTATTTGCTTGAAAAGAAGTTCCTCTAGTTTTAACATTTTTGATTGAATTTTCAAGATATTCGGATTTATAAGAATTATCTGCATCCTGAGCTGTGTTTCTGTCTTGCAAATTAGCTGCTGCACAATACGTATTACTGTTTTCCTCGAATGAACTCCTCTCTTCGTATCCTTTTTCAAGTTCCAACCGACCTTCTTCAATGGCCCTTCTGATCTCTTCCTGTAAGTTGCAATCTTCTGATGAGCCAAGACTCCTTCTCGCAAGAGACTTTTTAAAGGCAGCTTCATCTTCATATTCATCTCTACTAAAAATTGGACTATTCAAAACATAGGTTCCTTGTCTTTCCTTGACTTTTCTCCGAGTTTTAACAGATAGCCTTCTTCTCAAGTCATGTGGCAAAGTAGCTGTCTTTTTGCTATCATCCTCAAAGTTTACATCAAATTTTATTCCTTGGCTTGAATAATCAACATCAGGGCCAGCCCTTTCCTTTCCATTGTTAATCTTCAAGGTCAGCTGGACGTTTTCACTATTATCCACAATTTTCGAGGCATTTGCATCAACAGGCGGCTTAATTCTTTCACTTTTCCTGTTTGCGGTACTGTGAAGATCTTCACTCTTGTTCTTTGTTTTGCTTTGGCAAGACTTTTGGTTTTCCTTTCGATGAAAATCTCGCTCACTTGTCGTAATTCCGTCGTTAAAATTATCATTCAAGTCTGAGATGTTAATCTCTAGCTTTAATGCAATTCTGCCTCGAGCCATATCCTCATCAGTTTCAGCTACACTTGACGAGGAAACGATACACTCTGTCCCTTGTTCATCTTTGCCATCATCGCTAAACTCATTTAAATCATTATAATTTACATCACAACTTGGTCTACTAGCATCTGCAATTTCAGTAAATGAATTATCTCGATACTTAATCGATGCAATTTGATTGTTCTTTGATCCATGATTGCTGTATGTCTCCTCTTCGGGCAACCTAACCAACGCGCTTGGCGATCTTTCCACTAAACTGCCATCAACCAATGTTTCCAAACTATTATAAGCTCTTTTATGAGACCCACCTTGGCCTACAGCTTCCTTGCTCTCATCTGCGTTTAATTCGTGCACCCTGTCCTCGACAGGTTTTTTTGAAAAATTAAAAACAGCTGTTCCATTGTGATGATTCTCATCTGGACAACAATCACTTTCTGCGTATATTGATAAAACAGCATGTTCATCTGCCATTTCGATGTAATCAGGCTTGTAAGAAAAATCCCTTTCAACTGTTTTAACTTCATTATTATTCAACTCTGCATCTTCCTTTGTTTCAACCGTAGAAGTTAATGAAAATTTTATACTGGAATCCGTTCCATCGTTGTAATCGCTCGGTTCTTTAAACAAATCTGGATCAGGCAATCTGCTTCTATGTTCCTTATTATAAAATGCACCCTTGCTGATGCTGTTCTCTGCATTATCTTTGTCTTTGGGGACGCTGTCATCATTTATCTGCTCCTTTCTCTCTTCTTCTGAGAAATTAGCCACTGAAACCCGCTCAATCACACCCTTGCCGTCACCTTCTTCAGACCGGTAAATTTCTTTCTCTAAAAAGATTTCTTTATTTTCATAACCATTATTGGATATATTTGTGCCAAATTCAGTCTCTCTGGTTTCAGTTCCATCAATACTGCCCTGATCATAAGGTCCAATGTACTGGGTTGTTCCCTCTGAATCAACGAGTGAAGATGTGGCTGTGATCCCACTATCTCCAACTACAGCTGGACTGCTTTTGATCATAACGTCTTCTTCTTCTTTGTCAGAGACTTCATCTCTAACTTCCGAGCTTTGATCTACACAATCTGTACATTTTTCACCGACATCAAGTGAAGTAGCTGCTGGTTTATTCATGGGATCAAGCTTTTTCTGTGATACTATCCAGTTCATATGTAATGGTCTCTCAATTATTTCTAGAGTTTCTCGGCTTTCATCTTGATGTGTGTTAGAAGCAACCGAACGTTTATTCTGTGCTGTATGGAAGGCCTTGGTAGTTTCATAATCAATCGTATCTGCTGACAATTCGGTATCTCTAACACTTTGTTCATCTGCTGCAGAATTCTGATTTGATGTTTTTTCTGTTATATTATCAGAAATCACAGTTTTATCATCTATTGGTTCCATTGTGTTGGCCTCAGTTGCTACCATCGTGTTCATTTCCTCAGCAGGATCAAATTGGTTTTCATCAAACAACTCTATCTCAACAGCTTGGAAACCTATTGGTATGTTATAAGAGATTGACTCATCCGTTTTATTCGCTGTCTTATCATTTTCAATTGTGTATGTACTCGGTCTTGACTTTTTCGATTTGATGTGTTGGTGGGACTCTGTGTTCTTGTCATTTTGAGTTCTAGCTCTAATGTCTACCCTTCCAATTTCAATGGGTTTCCCTTCATTTCCTATGCCATCCTTATTTGAATCATTTTCCACTAACCAATCCCCTATACCTTCAACCCCAGTAGAAATAACCTCTGAATCTTCCCTGTCTCCATCGTTGTATATTGCACTATTTGTAATATTTGATAAAGGCATTTGCTTTTCTATAATGAATGTCCCTGGTCGTTTTCGACGTCTTAGGTCTTCACTTTGCTTTGATGAGACTTCTTGGCTGCTATCGAGAGACATCTCAACTTCATTCTGATTCCTGACATCGGATTTTTCAATTTTTGGGTCAGTAGCCGAGCTGTGCGGACTTTTTTCTAGAACAAAGGTATTGGGTCTCGGAATTCTCTTTCTTTTACCTATTCCTTCTGTTTTTGCAAAACTAGGCCTATCACCATCATAATTGTCATCATCTTCCTTTATTTCTTCTCCATCTAATTTACTGCTGGATATAGCACCTTCTTTAGCTCCTTTATTGGCTGATTGCTCTAATACAAATGTGCGTGGTCTTTTCATCTCTGTTACAGTGCTACCACATGCATCATAACTAACAACACTGTCATCCTCTATGCTTGCTTCAACTCTTTTTCCTTTTTCATCTGATACACTACCAAACTCATTTGCTCCTTTCTTCTCTGCTATTTCTAGCACAAATGTACCCGGTCTTTTCATCTTTGCTCCAGTTTGACTGCTGCTGTAAGCAGTACCAATTCTGTTGTCTTCAGTATTTGGAGCAAGAATATTTCTATTCTCACTCGATAACCAACCTTGTTCTTTGGTTCTTTTTGTATCTACTTTTTCTAAAACAAATGTACCAGGTCTTTTGGCCTTCTTTCCTGACCCGTTACTCCCAGTTTTAGAAGAGTCATCACTTAAGTCATTATCAACTATGTCCGCTCCAGCATTTTTGTCAAAATCTGAAAGTGCATCACACTTTTCAATTACTTTTTCATCTGCATGTTCCAAAACAAATGTGTTTGGTCTCTTGATTCCACCTCTGACCACAGTACCCTCATGTTTATCAAACATAAAACTGTCATCACACACCCAATCATCACCCCCTTTCCTGTCTACAAAACTTCCTTTTTTATTTTCTAGTGTAAAATCCTCTTTGTTTTGAATGTTTTTAACCTGCTTTGAATTGACATATCCTGATTCGTTCAACTTTTGTTGTTTATAAACATAATCCTTTTCATACATGGGTCCACAATTCTCCCTCTCTGTCTCAGTAACAATTGCCAAAGAATCTGTTGGCTGCTGAAGATCCTCATCATCAACTCGGTGTAAGACATAAGTTCCCGGCCTTTTAAATTTTGGCTGCACCTTCACTGGACTGTCATTACTCTTTTTTGTCATTCCTTTGGAATCATCAAGCAAAATTTCAACATTAATTGTATCTTTATTTTCACATTCAGGAAGCTTTTCTTGTTCAAAAGATTTAGGCATATTCTGTGTTACATCACTTGAATTCTCTGAAGATAGCTGTATTTGAATTTGATCCAAAGTATAAGTTCCTGGTCTTCTTCTAACTGGTAAACTGTCAGCATCATTTGTATCAGAGATGTGTTTTCTACAATGATCACCAACTGGATCATGTCTACTGAAGTTCTCATTATTACTATAAAAACTTGTCCTATTTTTGCTTCCTTCTCCAATGACATCCTCTACTGTCTGCCATTTTACCCAGTCACCTGGATACTTCAGCTTTGCAATTTGACATTCTTTGTTGCTTTTTTGTTCATTTTCAACCTCTGATTTGTTTACCAAAAATTTACTCCTTGGTACAGAAAAACTATCTATGGTTGTCTCACTACCCATATCAACAGACTGATTAGGACTAGCAGATTTAGCAGAAGTATTGGCAGCTCTTTGCTTTTTGTTTGTTGGTGCAGAAACTAAATCTCTTATTTTAATCTCTTTCTCAACTTGATTCTTACTGCAAACTTTAGCATCAGTCATATCAGGTGAATCAGAAATATGGCTGGCAAATACTTTATCTTTACTTCCTTCAATGACATAGGTTCCAGGCCTTTTTACGCATGTGGAAGAAGGTGACGAAAACTCTTTTCCATATTCTTTATTGCCAATTGTAAATGTATTGATATCATCAGAATATTCATATAAGACATCTTTTACTGTTCTGAATTCACAAGGAAAACTTTCTTCCACATAAGCTGCTGCTAATTTATCACCAACCTTGTCAATTCTGTTTACTTCTGAAGTAAGATCACTGCTTTTACATTGTATATCACTGTGTTCCTTATTACTAGCAAGATCCGGGATACTGAAATCAGTATCATTTCTTCCAATATCAGCAACTGGCCTTTGAGATGTTCTGAGCTTTACAGACTGTGTGTTATAGTCTGACTCTTTTCTTACACTTTGGACATCAGTATTAGACATTGAAAAAGCAGAGCCATCAGGTTCATTATGGTTATAAAAGTCACTCTTTAACTCAGTATGATCACCATGTCTAACAAAACTGCCCAAATTTTTATATTGTTTCAGAGATTTAAGTGCCTCAAATGATCTCAAAACAAGCTTTGCCTGATCCCCAATGTATGCAATGTTTTCATCTACAACATCGTGGATACTAGTATCTAGAAATCTGCTTGACAACTTTTTATCCTCCTGTAATAGTTCCTCATTAAATTCATTTCCTCCACCTGAAGCCACATGAAAGCTTTCTAGTGCTTTTGCAGTTTCCCTGTCTAATGCAAAGATCTTTTCATCAATTAGTCTTGAGGCAGTTGGAGATATTTCTTCCTCCTCACTGTAATATCCAAAGATTTCTTCATGCCCCACCTTGTTATTATGTTCTTTTTCGTGCTCTTTTTTACCAATATCATCCCAATTCTCATTTATAAAACAATCTGCCATCCGACAGAGGTCATCCAGGGCATCAATTATTGGCAGACCTTTTTCTTCTGCTTCACTCACCGGTGTTGATTCAATGCTATATGTATTTCTTCTTTTCCTTTTTGGCTTATGGTAATCGGTGAGTGATTCATTTTCATAATCTGAAGATTCAGCGCTACCAACAGATGGCTTTTTAACTGGTGATTCTAAAAAATCTCTCACTAACATTGGCTCAAGCTCATCACTTTCTAAATTAAGTGCCAACATTGTTGACCATTTTTTCGACTTATAATCATTTGATGGTGTATCATAATATTCATCTTCTTGGAATGATTCAAGATTTCCATCATACTGTTTTCGTGTCAAGCTTGGAGACTCTGGAGACTGAGCTGATATTTTGTAACTTGACAGTTTCAAAGGAGATTCTTTTTGCTCATTTGCATAACTAAAGCTGTCACTTTTAGAGTATCCACTCAAATCCTCTACGCCAGAAGACGAATCTGGATGAAATTTGCCATACGGTTCTTGATAATTCATTCCATGGCCAGTTACAATTTTGGCTGATGAATTTCCTTTGCTATTATCAATAACATCAACTGACTGACATCCATGAAAGCTTTCTCTTGCATGTGTATCAGTTGTACTAATGACTTGAGCATCTGTTTGTGTCAAACCACTTCCATCTCCAGACAATCCTAACTGGTTACGACAGTTATCCTTAGTCACTTTCCCTTTATCACCTGCATCTGCAAGCTTGTGTAATGCATCAACAATATTTATGCCCATGTCAAGGGCATCATCAAGAATATCAGCTACATCACCAAGCGTAAACATACTTATCCAAAAAATTCACCAAACATCACAATTTATTCTGAAACATGAGCATGGAAAAAGCAAGGAAGCTCTCTTTCTACGCAAAATGAAAAGAATTCCATCATATATTACACGTTGACCAACAAAGATAACACACAATATGGTAGGCAACCTGAGACTGTTTCTAGACAGGGATATCTTCAACACAAAGAGCTTGTTTTTGTATAACAATAAATTAACTAGACGGGGATAATCTCCCCTTTAGGCTTTTCGCTACAAAACACCAACTGCTCAAACAATCTCACATTAAACCTTTAACCCTACCTGTCGATTGGCCTACCAAAAAGTTTTCACGTCAAAAATATTTGGATATAAACAGAGAATACTCCCTGTACGCCACATAATTCGTCAAATGTAAAACAATATATTTTATTTATCCAGGAGTCTTTATGCAATATTTCCTTTTCCTCCAATCATTTAGTAACATCGACATGTGAAAATCTACTTTGCGATCCATAATCTCAGCTGACTGTGCATGCCTAGGCCTATCGTCAACATTAACAAAAATGGCTTCCAACGCGACGAAAACGAACGATGAAACGGCTTTCTGATAGCAATGATCCACAACCTCATGAACTTATTTTCCTTTAATGAATAATAACTTTGCTCTGCATGTTATGTTTTTCTTTTTCTTCTCTTGTGCCAATCTTTAAATAACTAAATGAAAACACTGTTGTGAATGTTGATAAGAACACTGCGGTCCAGTCTTCTATTGTCCACGCGTTCGATTTCTATTGTAAATCAACACAATAAAGAACAAAAGCCTATTGAAATGGATGGATAGGACACTCAATGGAACTTCTTGAGGTCCCACGATTATTTAGGCAGTCCAAAGCGATAAGCAGATACGTCACTGGCTAGAAATTTCGATCTGTTTGGAAAGTGTTTTTGTTAAACTCCAATAACAAAGCTTTTAGAGTTGGATGTCTGATTTGTAGGATGGACAAAGCACGCTCGTTTTAATTCAAGAAATGCAATAAATTGAAGTTCATGTTGGCTGTTTTGAATTTTTTTCTTAATTTTGAAGCTGCTTTGCTTTAAATTGGCATTGCTTTAAATCTTTTCTTAAATCATTAGGGCGTCAGCAGTGCAATCGCTAGCTATTGCGATCAAGGGGAGTGTTCAGACCCTCCTTGAAATCCGCCGATTTTAAGGGGATTTCACACCCCCATGCCCCCAATAGCTAACTCGCGCAATTTTTAAATCAAGCCGTCTAGAATGGCCAAAAATGCATCTCCAAGACTATAATTTAACAAAATACTATACCCCTCAGAATAAAAAGTTCGACGAATCTCAGAAAAACATTGATTGTTGATTTCTAGAAAAAATTTAGAAGGGGAGGAGTCAAGGGTCATGCTAAAGCTAGAAAGAAAGGACAACCTTTGGTTCAGAGTGTGCCGCAATGTGAATAACAAGAAGCTGTTGAATTGATTGACAGAATTTTACTTCCTGAACAGAAATGTGCATCTTCTTTGTCTCAAGAATTTTCAGTAGGCCATTTTTACATATCGAAAATGCAGACATTACAATGATACAGAAAGTTATCTACTGAACTGATGCAAATAATAGACAAATAAATAAGTTTGTAAATAGATTAAATAAAATCAAGCAGTATATAAACAATTTATTATTTTTTATATCATACTCTGCTTTCAAAAATAATAAAAAAGACGGCCAAAAAACTTTACCTCTGAAAAAGTGAGGGGCCTTTGCACAAAATCCTCATCACATACACCATTTGTATTGAGATAAATCATTGGGGTCAGCTGTTGCTTTATGAAAATATCATTTTATAGCAGGCCTTGTACACGCTCTATAATTTTGCATTTCTTATTTGTATAACCCTGATAATCTCTAGCCAATTATCAAACATAAAATAGAAGGGGCGAGAGGGAATGTGTGGTAAACATAACAAAAATGCCAAACCTTAAATTGCCTCTCTCGTATAAGCACTCCTCCCCCACCCTCGAAAAAGCCCCCGCCTTGGAAATAGAAATTGCTAATAAGCTCCCAACCTCGAAAAGCCCCCATCCTAATATGCCAAATATTGAATTTTGAAAACAACAAAAATTACACCATGTTAGTAAATGACTGACAACACATTCAAAGGCAAATGGAAAAAACCTAAAATAAATGAGACATTGACGAAGTGACCGCTGAAAACAATGAACATGCTAATACTTTTGACAAAATAGCTTTTAAACTTTGATTTATAATTTGGCTCCAACGAGTTTTTGCATGGCAACTTGGAGATGACTTGTACAACAGCCCACATCTAAAAACTGCATCGTGTAATAAGTGCTGGCTCGCGACTTATCTTATTCAATATAGTTTCTGCATTCACACTTGTGTCGAATTTCAGACCCATCGCTCTGTGATAAAATATTTTACATTCAGTCGCAAGAGTGTTTTTCCAACCAAGATGAATGTTTACCCATTCATCGATATGCTAATTCCATCTCATATAAAGTTAATGGGCCCAAAATCGAGTTTCGATTTTTAAAAGAATAGGATCAAATGGTAAGTCTTTTGTTGAGATGAGCAATGGTATTTCAAAATGAAAAATAAAAATATAGCGATAACTGGCAACCAATCAGCATTATCAAATAATATCATGAAAATATATGTTTTTAAAAGAACATAACAAACAAATTTTGCAAAGATTATTTTTGAGTATTCTTAAGTTTGCCAAGAGAAATTGAAGTAAATCTTGCAAAAACTGCAACAATCTAGTGAAAACTACAACAAAATATACCAAACGTCTCTTCATTATGGTTCATAATATGTGTGATTACTGCAGCGATCGCATTTGTGCCGTAGAAGCGGAGCCCCTATAACAGAAAGCAGGAGCCCTACCGCTAAATGCCGGGTGCCGAGAAAACTTGCTTTAACAAAGTCACCCTTCTAAAGTCTAGTTATCAAACCAACAAGTTTGTCTGAAAAGATATCTGACGTAACAAGAAAGGTTCTTGAAAAACCTTTATGGGACTTTAAAAATATACTAGATTGCGTGCGGTACAATATAATTCTATAATAACGATGAATGTAAGTAAATTGTACCAGGGAAAAAATGATTAAATCAATAAACGACGTTTTGAGCATAGCCCGTTTTCAAGGGACTTGTACAGAATAACTGGCATGAAATTCCCTGACATTTCCATGGCTTTTCTTGACATGAGACGCAAATGGTCCACGTTCTCCCGATGTTCTAGGCTTTAAAAAAGTTTACTATGGATAAGGAGACTTTCCATTCTCCACTAAGATTCAGTGTGTGCACGCAGGTCAGTAAAAAGCGAAAAAAACAAAGGTTAATGCAGCAGATAGCGTTGCAAATATGTTATAGCAAGGCTACAGGAAACAATTTTCCTTGATCAACAAATCAAAATTGCCAACAAGACAATAACAATTTAACTGAGATTACCCTGACGCAACATATTTCATACAATATTCCCTGAATTCTTCAGGTGTTCTCCGATTTGCTTCTAAAAATTAGTCATTTTCAAGGCTGTTCATGTTTTCTAATTCTTTACGAGCTCTGCTTCCAAAGGCATATAAACAAACAAAATATTAGTTTCGAGGGACTTCCTTTTTAAATTAAAATCTAGGAATAAGACATTAACATTGTTTGTTTTTCTTCTTTTAGAAGACTGCCAAAGGTTTTTAGTAATAAAATAACTAACTCCTGACCTATTTCCCTTACAAAACAAACATTTGTAAAATTGAGTCATCTTGATTGATAACAAAATTATAATGAGAAAATCGTTGATTAATCTTATTTTTATAGATGCATAGTGCTTAGCATCTAAAGAAACATAAGGTATGACTATAAGAAAACTGCGATAAAAACACAACAATAAAATAACTTAGGGAAACAATAAATAAAAAAATAATAGGTAATTATAAGAAAGTGAGAGATTTTGTATTTGAGAAGTTTCCAAAGACAGCATAAGCTGCAAGGTTTAAATAAGTATCATCCGAAACCAAGGCTGATGCTCTTTCCTGCCTTGACTATTATCGAAAATGCAGAGTGATACTATGAACGGATATCGTCGTAATTAAATGCTGTTCTCCGCCTGATGCGGCCAGGTATCAATTAACCAACTACTGATATATATATACATACAATCAACCATTCAAGATTTTACTTTTTCAATAGAAACACATTCCTGCCTTCAAATAAAATATTTACATAAATTTATTAATTCTGCTATGACGAATTGATCTAAGCTGCTAGAATAATGCTGGTTTCGTATCTTCATAAATTCAAAGTAAAAGATCGGATAAAACAGTTGAGCCCCAATGTCTACACCTCAAAGAGATTCGGGGACTCTGTTTGTCAACCGAAGAGTAAAAACAAAAAAAGTTAACAAATAATCTTTTTCAAAATCAAGTACTTCCACGTGAGTCTAGAGAGCACAGGGAAAACTGAAAAAAATAAGCCTATTTCTATTCCATTGTCAAATATATAAGTAATTATAATTATATGCTAAAATCGGGCAGTGACTCTAGCATAAAAAGATTTTGGCAAATCTATATCTGCAGATTAGTTGAAAATTGGCAGCTTTGCTCATTTTCAAAATCAATACTTTTTTACACGCAGTTACCTACAAAACATAACAATAGAACAGAACTTTTTTCATGCATAGTGGAAAAACAATATATCCATGCCATAATCGAAAAAGAATACAGTGGCTGAATGGAGTACGATTGACTCTTATTGTGACCAAACGAGGCTCACAAATCCCTCATAAATATGCGGAAACAAAAAAAAAGCTCACAAATCTGGAGCTTCTATTTTGATAACGACAGATTCCAAGACACTGAAACGAAGAGCCGACCTTGCTTATGACCATCTTGTTTGTGTATTATGATAAGTTTGAAACTGTACGGACCAAAGCTTATGCACAATACCGTATTCACCTAACCACGAAAAGAGTGAAATTATAAGATTACCTTCATTTTCACTTTGGATGACGTCTTCCGTTGCTTTGCTTTGCGCATACTGTGCCCAGTTGGTAACTGGTCCATTCGAAACAGTCGATATTCGTGGATCCTAAAAGTTAATCAGCATATCTTTCATCTCAAAGACATAAAGAACATTTGAAGAGAGCACGGTAAAGCGGAAACAGCATACTAAAGTTTTTTTCGTCTGACACTCCACAGAGTAACAACATCGGATACTATGGAGAAAAACATACTGAGCAGTTCAAAAATACTCCGTAGACTCTTAATTTTACTGAAATAACTTGGTAAAGCGAAGCAAAAGCTTCAGACCAAAAGGAAACATTAAGAAAAACCCGGTATACTTTAAGTTAACGATATCAATATACATCTCTTAACAAAGAACCTATCAGATTCTTCTCATTTTCTTTTTGATATTTTCACGAGTTAATATCTGAAAGACACAATTGTAAAATATGGCGACACAATGTGAATTAGTCTGCAAAGGGTGACAGTTCTTTTCAATTTAAAATCCAAAAGACAACATCTATAAAAAATAACATACTTTGCCATCTTCTGGTGAGAGCAATCTGTTTGTTACACCTTTCTTTTCGTTTTTCACATCTGACCATGTTGTTGTTAGATTGAGGTCCTTACCCTCGATCGCATTGGCGTAGATTATTTCTCCCTCATTTTGCCCGTCTTCAAACAAGTGGGATGAGTCACCCGCAATATTGTTTGTAAATTCCCCTACGCTTCCCTGAAATAAGTAACGCAACGATATGATAACAGCTTTAACTACCGCTTTCAACGATATCGACGTACATCACCCTTTCGTGAGGAATTTTCATTAATTTCACAGCCTGATTTCTGAACTAATTGCTGCTGAAACTTCAGTGAATTCTACAAAAAAGGTCATCACATGAGAAAATTAGATGTCGTGCCGTGTGTCGAATCGCGTTGTGTTGCATCGTGACATGTCGTATCGTGTCGACCGTGTCTTGTCTTGTCTTGTCTTGTCTTGTCTTGTCTTGTCTTGTCTTGTCTTGTCTTCTCTTGTCTTGTCTTGTCTCGTCTCGTCTCGTCTCGTCTCGTCTCGTCTCGTCTCGTCTGGTCTGGTCTGGTCTGGTCTGGTCTGGTCTGGTCTGGTCTGGTCTGGTCTGGTCTGGTCTGGTCTGGTCTGGTCTGGTCTGGTCTTGTCGTGTCGTGTCGTGTCATGCAATATTCCTGTCGTATTTCGTAGTGTTGTCAAGAAAAGCAGTGTTGTGATAGACAACAACAACATAAATATCTGCAACGTGTGGACCGATGCAGTGACAGACTGAAGTTCTTAAGAAAATGATCACATGAATCTGAAGTTATATTCGTAGGAAATGCCAAGGGTGATTTTAAAAATAACCAAAGCGCAAACTCGAGAAAATAAAAAAGCTTGAAAAGCGACGAAATAAGAATTACTGTCTTAAAGAACTTCCTACCTTAAGCCGACTAAAAGACATTTGCTGAGCTGAAAATCTTTTTAGTAAACAAAGTACTTTTTTCGTTTTTAGTAAAGCTGAAAGGTCTATCATGTAAAAAAATTGAATATAATTACAAACGTGAAAATATCTCAGAGGGAACTGTAATAGCATAATGTAAGCATAATTCAAAAGTGTCACTAGAGGAGACTTACCTTCAAATCATTGAAATTTTGGTCCTCAAAGACAGGTTCTGCTTTTTCTGATCTTGTACTTTTTAACTCAGTTTTATTTGCTTGAGTAAAACCAGACAATTTGTCAATGTTTAGTTTCTTTTGGCTATCAACATGCAAATCAATACCATCAGAATTGAATTTCGAAGAACGTGTTACCACCTCGTTTTCAATACGAGGGGTATCCGGGTCCATTGCATCAAAGCTAGACGACTCTCTGATATTCCCTACTTCGTTCGCAAAAGAACCTGCTAACCCGTTTTTAGCCTCTCTCGAGCGGCTATTTTCAGCCTGTTCGAAATGACGGACATACATTTCCTCAGTTTTTTGTTCATCCGGGCCTCGAACTGAGAATGTTTTCGAATGCTCATAAGGAGTCCCACTAAAATTCTGACCTGATGTCACAGTATTCACATTATCATTCCGTTGTACCAGTTGTCCATTTATATCTTTATAATCATCTTCATCTCTACTGTGAAGGGATGTTCTAATGCTATTATGGGTAAAGTTGCTCTCTGCATCAATTATCGGCAAGCCCGCTGCCTTTGCAGACTCTAATGACATTTCTGAATTCATAATTGTGTAGCTAGCACGTGGTATTACGTCAGACGCTTCTAAACGATGTTCACTATCGTAACTCTTAGCATTTTGCCCCCTTGAAAAACTGTTTTGTAATAACTGTTCACTTGAAGAGTGGTGCAAGTCTACACTGCCTTGATTGTCACCATTAGAAAGGGTTTCTTGGCTAGCAGCGCCAGCTAATGATAGTTCAGTGTCTGTTACACTATAAAGGGGTGTTATATCACCACTGGGGATTGTAGGCGAAGTCTGGGAGTCACTTAAGGAAATCCTAGAGGAATCACTTTCAATGGTATGGGAATCTTCAGAATCCCCAAATGACCTGCGTGTATCAAATGAGTATACTGTTGGCGTCGATGGCTCACTGGTTTCCGCTATAGTAGAGAGATCATCGTCGTGGTCCTCGCCTTTCATTTCGCTTAAAGCTTCGTCATGAACTCCCAGATTATTCTGGTTTATTCCAAAAAGCTTGTTGGGCCTTGGAGAAGCGTGTTTATTCAGCTGGTCCACTTGATGTATTGCAGGTTTCGCAAAATTGGTACCAATTAAGTAATCATCTTCCTCGAGTTGAGGCTCAACAAAATCCCCGACAGGTTCTGTACTTTTCATCTGGTCCGTGTGCTTCAGTAACTCGGTCCGAAAATCCTCAGCAAAACTTGACTCTAACCTATTACCGATCGAGCTTTCTCTACTCGGAAAATCCTTGACTTTTTCATGCATATC